AACAGAACAGAACAGAACAGAACAGAACAGAACAGAACAGAACAGAACAAAACAAAACAAAACAAAACAAAACAAGATGTTCTTAAAACTGCTCTGTCCAAAACTTTGCTGAAACTGATTTGGCTTCTTCATTGTGAAAATGGCCATTGCTCGTGCCAAGTACTTTCCTGAATTGTTCATTCTGTCCCTTTCAATAATGTCCTCTCCTCAAAGGACATTCACATCTGTCTTTCTCATTGTTCCAGTTAGTTAACAGTGATCTCATTATAGAATTTGAAATACTTGCAGCTTCTTCTCAGCATACACATCTTCACACTGTTGGCTAATTTTAGGATATGTGTTACTCCCCACGTTCTGTTACAGTGAACACTTCCTTGAACCATTTAGAAAGCTGAACATCAGAAGGACTCAACAAAATACTAATTGACAGAATGCTCTTGTGTGCAAAAAGATGTGACTATTTAATAGAATTCATATATATTAAAAGATAGTAAAAAATGCTTAAATTTGTGGTTTTTACCACACAACATCTTAACATCCGTATTAGCTCTCTTTGTATATCTGCTTTGAGAACTATTTTTGAATGATCATAGCTTCTCTTAGGAAACTCCCTCTTTTGGATTAAGTAGTCTACGCTTCATTACCAAACATGTTGAAGATTTTTGATATTCTGGGTTACCTGTGTTCTGAAATAAGGTGCCTCCAGCACATGATCATTAAAGGAAATGATTCTTTTTCTTCTCTGTTTAATCACAGAAACAAGGACCAACAAATAAGTTTTTGCGTCATCTTGTCCAAGATGTAAAGCAGGTAAACTAACTATAAAAGTTGAAAATACCTTTTGCATATTATCTTAGCTTTGAGATAGTGGAATGGAAGTTTATAAATTGTATTTTTAGATTTTATTGTAAATTATTTATCTTTGTATGTAGGATTCTAAATACCGTATTCACCAAATTTTACCATTCTTGGTTTCCTCACTTTGTTCCTGGTTTTAAAGTTTGTCCCTTCAAATAAGTGACACTAGCCATGGCAAACATAGCTCAGAGGGGTGTAGTTCAGTGACACAATGCTCATGTAAGACCCTGAGTTCAATTGTCACCACCTCACAATCAAAAACAAAGCAAACGGGCCAGATTTTGTGGGTCATGCTTATGATTTTAGCTCTCAGGAGGCTGAAACATGAGGATTGAGGTTTTAAGAACAGGCTGGGCTACATATTTGACCCTGTCCCAAAAGAAGCAATCAAAATAAGCAAAGGCACATAATCAGTGGACCGTCCACACAATCGATTATATTCATCACAAAGCGACTTAGAACGTCAGCAGCACAGGTCTTTTGCTGATGTCAAATGTGTGATTTCAGATGTTTTCTGTTGTCGCTGTTTTGAGCGTCAGTAGCAGCTTTGGGGTGCAAACAATGTTTTAGTACATCTAAGCCCTACTGCAGGGAGTTACAATGGTTCAATATCCTTGTGTGTGATTGCTCAGAGTGTTCTCAATTCAACAATTCAATTGAATGTTGAATAAAACAATTCTTGAAAACTTAAATTATCTTTCATTTGTCACTGTGGTAAAAATCCACCCACAGTGCATTTTAAGAGTTCTATCTATATGGATATTAGCCCCCTATCAGATGTAGGATTGGTAAAGATCTTTTCCCAATTTGTTGATTGTCGTTTTGTCCTATTGACAGTGTCCTTTGCCTTACAGAAACTTTGCAATTTTATGAAGTCCCATTTGTCAATTCTTGATCTTAAAGCACATGCCATTGGTGTTCTGTTCAGGAACTTTTCCCCTGTGCCCAAGTATTCGAGGTTCTTCCCCACCTTCTCTTCTATTAGTTTCAGTGTATCTGGTTTTATGTGGAGGTCCTTTATCCATTTAGACTTGAGCATTGTACAAGGAGATAAGAATGGATCAATTTGCATTCTTCTACATGTTGTCCTCCAGTTGAACCAGCACCATTTGTTGAAAATGCTGTCCTTTTCCCACTGGACAGTTTTAGCTCCTTTGTCGAAGATCAAGTGACCATAGGAGTGTGGGTTCATTTCTGGGTCTTCAGTTCTATTCCATTGGTCTTCCTGCCTGTCTCTGTACCAATATCAGGTAGTTTTTTATCACTATTGCTCTGTAGTACAGCTTGAGGTCAGGGATGGTGATTCCTCCAGAAGTTCTTTTATTGTTGAGAATAGTTTTTGCTATCCTGGGTTTTTTGTTATTCCAAAAGAATTTGAGAATTTCCTTTTCTAACTCTGTGAAGAATTGAGTTGGGATTTTAATGGGAATTGCATTGAATCTGTAGATTGCATGGCTTCAGCTGTATATGTAAGGGTAGAGGGCCCTGCTGGGCATGGGTAGGAGAAGAGATCCTTGGTTTCATGAAGGCTGGACACACAAGGAGGTGGAAATTTGAGGGTGGGGAGGTGGGAGTGGGGGGGTAGGTAGGGGGTATATCTGCAGAGAATCAGAAGGAGGGGTGAGGGGATAGGGGGTTCCTGGGTGGGTGGGGGATGGGGTAAGGGGATAACATATGAAATGTAAATAAAACATCCAATAAAATAAAAGAGTTCTGTCATTTTTGAAGCTTGGTATCTCATTGAATAGAGTTTGGACTTTCTGCTTCTGTTGACTTAGTTGGAGAGTCAGATGAAAGGAACATATTTACTTGGAAAATTTACAGTAAGCAAAATTGCCTATGCTGATATAAATATAAGTTATGTTGATTTAAGCTATAGCAAAATGACTTGCCTAAATTACTTCCTAAAACTATATCTCAATATGCTGAAGGGAAAGGAATGGATAAGTTAACATTTGTCTTCTGAGAGCATGGTAAAAGAGACAGAATGGGCTGGTGAGATGGCTCAGCAGTTAAGAACCCTGGCTGCTCTTCCAGAGGTCCTGAGTTCAATTCCCAGCAACCACATGGTGGATCACAACCATCTATAGGGGGATATGATGTCCTTTTTGGGCAGGTGGATGTATATGCGCAGAGCACTCATACATTAGATAAATAAAGCTTTTTTTTTTTTAAAAAACAAGAGACAGAGAAGAAAAGTGGAAGATGTAACTTCTTGTTCTTTGTTACAGCATACCCTTCTCTCAAGCTATAGAATCACGCTCATCGACATTGGGCTGGTAATAGAGTACCTCATTGGGGGAGCGTATCGGAGCAGCTACACTAGGAAGAGTTTCAGAGTCCTCTACAACAGCCTCTACAGGAAACACAAGGTAATATCATTGCAAAGTGCTCCAATGAGAGGGCCGGGAATGGCGAATCACGGTTTTAGGGAAATGGCTGATGGAGTCTCAGGAGCAGTAGCTTCTGTTTTTTTGTTTTGTTTTTGTTTTTTTTTCCCCAAAACAGGGTTTTGTATAGCCCTGTATAGCCCTGGCTGTCCTGGAACTCACTCTGTAGACCAGGCTGGCCTTGAACTCAGAAATCCACCTGTCTCTGCCTCCCAAGTGCTGGGATTAAAGGCGTGCGCCACCACCGCCCGGCTGGGCAGTAGCTTCTGTAATGGGCCTTCTACGTGAGGGCATGTGTCACCTGCTGTACATAGAGTACTGTGCTAGTGCTTTTCACGCTGGCATGAGATGAATAAAATATGTCCCCCAAGAAACAGATTAAGAGTAAATTACCTACAGTATAGAGCGGGATGTTGTATGTGCTGTATTGACATAGAAGCAGTGTGATGAATCTGGTGGGAGAGCGGCTGCTTCTTTTTTACCTCTTTAAACAAAGCAGTCAAAGGTCAAACACTTAATAGATTTACTTCTATAAACTAGTAATGGCCTATAGTCTGGAAACTGCATATTGGGCTTCTAAGCATGTAAGTATTATCTTGGAAGATGAAAAAAGAGTGAGCTTAAAAAAGAAATGCTTTTAGAGATGATAATATGTTTTCTGTCATAGTTTTGTGGGGGCCAAGATTATAAACGGATAGTTGGCATCACAGACCTATAGCCAGAGGAGCCTCATTCTTAGAGACACAGATACCAGAAAAAGAGCCTTGGACACGGATGTGGAGAGAAGGGTGGGACCAGAGGACACAGTGCTCAGATCTCAGGGTGGGGTTCTGTAGAGACACTGAGACCTTTGTCATGGGTGGACAGGGATGAGACTGGAATGTAACTGGGGAGGAGGTTCCATGAAGAACCTGGGCTATCCAGTTACTTTGGACCTTTATAAAGGTCTTTATAAAGAATTGGAGGAAGTGATAACCCCATTTAAGATTAGGAAGTGAACAGAACAACCCCCCAAACCATGAAAAATGCGTGGAAACCCTCATCTTGTGGAGGAAATAACCTCTCCTAAGGTTATTGTTGAGGCGAAAAGACACCTAATGTCAGCCACTGCCTTTGAAAAGAGTGACAGTACTGTGTGGCATTGGGGACAAGGTCACCATATGCACCATTCCACTGCTTACTAAGAGGCTCCATTACTGTTCTTTTTGGAAATGACCCATCAGTGTGACATATTCCATTTCACTGGTTGCTTTTTCCCAAGGGTATAAGATGGTGTTTCAGACTGCAAGGAGACGGCATGGTATGGGAGTGGTCTGACGTAGACTCTTGTTTATCTCCTTACTTGGGATATGAAACATAGCGTGTCTGTGTTTCCACTTTCCTGTCTAGAACTAGGCATATTAATGTCTGTTCATAGAGTTATGAGAATACCAACAACCCTCCAATCCTTGTTACAGAGAAAGCTTTGAGTGACTTCGCAACAATATTCATTATGGTTATTACTATGTTGATATGATTAATTCTCTATTACAATAATGAAAATAACTTGGATGTTGTCTCTGAAGTACTGACTTTATTCTTTTTATGTTCACTTTTTATCCATAGAACACAAAGTGAAGGAGAGTAGAGTAGAGGTTTTCAAAACCTATGGTTTGGATCCTAGGCACTTAAGCCAGTCCCTATTTATCTCTGGTTCTTCTTGCTCACGCTTAGTTTGATGGCCATGCAATGGAGATATCATATATCACCTGGAAAAATTCCAGAACTTTCTAACTTCGTTTTAACCTTGTGAACAGAAACTTTTTCTTATCAAAACTATAAAATTTTATTACCTGTTTTGAACTAGGCTTGAGGCTAGAACATCTATTAAGTCTAAAGGAATTTCCACATAGGAAAGGAATTCAGATGCGTAATATGGAACAAAAGAGTATGCTTTCTAAGATGTCAGGAAATAGTAGTGTTTATCAGAAGGAGACTGGGAGATACTATTGAGTGAGTAATCTCTAGAGGCATTAATTATTAATCCTGGACGAGACAGAAGTGTTGATTATTTGTCTGGAAAGAAAATGATGTCACTACTATAATCCTTTTTAATCTCTCTTTTTTTCTTTTATAAACAAAATAACAACATATAACAGGGTGTGACCAGCTTTGCTCAGGGACTTTCCCAGCAACCTCTTTATCAGAGACATTCACTGGGAAATAGAAAGGAATCTTCTGAAAGCACACTGCATTCTCAGTTCTTCAGGACGGCCCAGCCCTACAAATCCAAGGTACACTTCTTTGTTTGTAGAGTTGAAAATGAAGGTATTTTTTTGCAGACTTCTTCATTGACACTGGAGAAAGGGAGTTTCCAATGAAGAATCCTTCCCCAGTATCACAAATAAACACATGATATGATTCACAGGTGTCACTGCTGGTCCTGCAGTTCTTTAGCAACACAGCACCCTGACAACCCAGCCACTGTCTGCTCTTGCCCCCTTAGGTTCTTTTCCTTGTTTTTAACCTCTGTCCTGTGCAGTGGTGATTGGGGCAGGTTGTGTGAACTATGGTATTAACTATTCATAATCATTAGCCTAACATGACACTCTTGACCTCCTCACTCAAGCCTCATTGCTATGAGGATTACTCGTTTTGTAGCTCTCTGTTCTTGGGAAGTGGTCCTTTTGTGTCTTCTTTTCCCCAACAAAGTCTTTCTGGAAGTTAGTTTTATCTTATTTTCTTTTCAGTATAACAAAGATAATGAGTGTATGTCTTTAGCCTACTCTTCTCTGGAGCAGAGTGCTCTTTTGCTTAAGTATTTCCATGGAAATCATGAGCTGTTGGCTGGAAGATGCTTCCCTTCCACAGCTGTTGGCATGGCCTTTAGTTACCATTAATGAACAGATTTTTTTTAATCTATAGAAAGATAGGAGAAACACGCTAATAGTTTTTGATATAATGCCTTAAATTACAAATAATTATTTAAAAACCTTTGTTATCTTTGAAGCATTATGCTGAGTACTTGGTTGACCTGGGAAGGAGAGCAGGTAGAGGTGGATGACATGATGACTGAGAAATAGTTCTACATTTCCCAAAGTGGTAAACCTTATACAAGGCATTGATTCAGAGACAGGAAGCTATACAAAGGCACACAGGGAATTTGGGTGGCATGCTGCGTGAGCTGGAAAGGGTAAGCTTGCCAGGGGGACAATGCTTCAGAATAAAATAAAGCCAATGCTTTATTTTATTCTGAAGCATGACTGGTGCTGCCTGCCATACACTTGAATGTATGGCAGGCAGCACCAGTGACATTCTTCAAAGGAACAATGACCAATCACCTTGTTAATGAGAAGTAGAAAGCCTTTAAAATACAATTCTTACTTACCCAAGTGGATAACCACCAAAGTGTACATTGTGCTTGCTGGTTTATCCTAATGGTGTTCCATGTATTTTTGAGACCAGGTTTCACTACAGAATCTGGACTCTATCCTCTTGGCCTTCTAAGTTCTGCATTGTAGTTCAATAAAACATGTGGTTATGTTTGTTTTTGTTTTATTTCTGAGAATTGATCCCAGGGCTTTGAGCACATCATTGGTCACTCTGTCACAGAGCTCCATCCCCAGCTGATTGCTTTTGCATGGCCTTATAACAGAGTGCACACTGGGTCAGGCTTACTAACAGTTCTACTATGGTGGATACCTGGACTCTTTGTTTGCTATTTTTTCTTTTTTCTTCCGTGCTGGGATCTAACATAGGTAGTAATTATTTTAAAAAGTATCTCTAGGATATGTGCTGTAATTCATTTAGCATCATGCATCTGAGTCTTTAGGACTTTGTTTTCCTTTGCAATAGGACAAGCCTGAAGACTCTCATAAATCAAAGAAGAAGTCCAAGGAAAGACACAGCCTGTCAGAGGACCCTGGGATTGCTGGCTTTATCTACCCATACAATGACTTGCTGGTGTGGGCTGTCCTCATGAAGAGGCAGAAGATGGCCATGTTTTTCTGGCAGCATGGAGAGGAGGCCACAGTGAAGGCAGTCATTGCTAGTATCCTCTACAGAGCTATGGCCCGGGAAGCCAAGGAGAGCAATATGGTGGATGATACTTCTGAAGAGTTGAAAAATTACTCAGAGTAGGTCTTCTTTCTTCATACTAAACACCAACAGTTTTGAGAATTTTACCAGAGGATAAATAGACTTACTTAGAATTGTGTATTTTATTCAAGTATTCCCATCTGCCCCCAAGGAACGGAACCAGTAGGCTGTATAAATGGTTTTATGGGAGAGGAATTGTAAGAGGATTGACTTAAGTGATTATGGTAGCTGAGAATCCCCAACACAACTCTGTGGAGCCTGGAGACCCAAGGATACCAGGGAATCGTGGCTCAGTCCATGTCCAGAGGCTCCAGAACCACAGCATCAATGGTGGGTGGATTCTCCTTGAAGGCCCGTGAACTGGGGAACATGCTGCCACTGTATGTAGTGGAATCTTCAGGCTTCAGAGCCTAGACTGCTGGTGACCATGGCAGGTGATGGGTGTCTCACCTCTCAAGGTCAGAGGCCAATTCATTTTCTGTACTTATCCTTCCTGGGCCCCATGAGAGACCATGTAGTGCCCATCCAATTTGAAAAGTCATCATTCTCAGGTAATTCTCTTAGTCTCTCATATCAAGGCCTGGGAACACTATCACAGATGCAGCATAATGTTGAGTTTTAGGTATTCCTTAATCCTGTTCATCTAGCAGCTAATGTTAACCACCACACAGCATCTTTCATCCACTCGTGTAGTAAAGGGTCCATAAAGGTTTGAAGGAATTCTATGGAATATAGGAAGCCTCAGTTTCATGCACAACTATTTTTTGAATTGTGCAGTTCCTTAAGGCAGCTGATGATTTTGAAATGAATGACATTGAAGCTCTTTGAAGTCCAAAGTCTTCAATGTTGCTAGGATTGATGCTTACCCTAGGTATTTTTCAGGCTGGGGAAACAAATACACACATTATAGCAAAGAACTAGAAAGTAACTGGTGGGAATGAAAAGGAGCAGAGCTATTTCCACTAACCTGATTACAATAGACCTGTGAACAGAGAACAGAGAGACACTCAGTGAATGACAGAGCTGATCTATAGCTTGATTTACTGAACTAGAGCATTTTCAGAGAAGAAAGCCACTTAGGAAATTTCCTGAGAATTTCTGGGTCTAGCTTCTCAAATACTTAAGGATTTTGTAAAATAATGATGACGATGATGATAACTATAATAATAACAATAATAATGATAATAATAAAAACATAGTTCCATGATGTTTCTTGGACACCATGTTTTTTTGTCAGATTTTCCCTATTAGGTTTTATCATGTAGACCTGCCTACACCAGGCTGAATATAGCACATCACACAGCATGGGGTGGCTTCTGTCACAAATACTGAATTCTATTCTGAGCCACCAGGAAAACACAGCAAGTTGTCTTCCTTCTGTATGAGAGGCAGATCCATTTCTGAGCAGCCGCCTTAGTTCCTGGTGGCGGTGGTTAAGTCACCGTTCATTAGCAGCCTAGCCTTGTTTTGATCACAGGTCCAGTTACCTGGTGTTTTCTGTGTGCCGTAGTCAATCTTTGAAGACATTTTTGTGGCTCTGACCGACCTGTGTTCTCTCTTCACCTCCGTGTCACCAGGCAGTTTGGCCAGCTCGCCCTGGATGTATTAGAGAAAGCCTTCAAGCAGAACGAGCCGATGGCCATGAAGCTGTTGACCTACGAACTCAAGAACTGGAGCAATTCCACCTGCTTGAAACTGGCAGTGTCTGGGGGCCTGCGCCCTTTTGTGTCGCATTCTTGTACCCAAATGCTGCTGACAGACATGTGGATGGGGCGTCTGAAAATGAGGAAAAACTCCTGGCTGAAGGTACATTCTCTTGCCCTATGTCATATTGTCAGTATGGTGTGAAGGCCGGTGCTTTTGAGTTCCAGGTGGGTACCTCTGGAAAACTGTAGCTTCCTGCAGGTGCACAGATCACTCATTCTTAGGAATTTCAGGAAACCACTTTTCCAGAGTGACATTTCAAAACTGGATGGCTGTACCTGCCCTGCCACCACAGAGCCATTCCTGTGAGAGGGCACAGTGAGTTAAAAGCAAATACAAGCAACACTTCACTGTGCCACATGACAGCGCCTCTGAGAATTCCAACAGAAATGAGGCTTTAAGGGCCTGCATTCATAGCTTAGAATGTTTGAACAACAGACACAAAGACTTGGGTTTGGTCCTCAGCACCACAAAGTAAATAAATGCTAATAGACAAGAAAATAAATAAAACTAGCAATTTTTACTGCTTCTGGGACTCCATGGCTGTTTCATAAGACTCTCCTCTAGCAAGTGTTGACACCATTCATCAGGTCTAAATTCTCAGCCTCTTCAGCTATGCAATCAAGAACATCTTAGTTCAGCATCTAAGATTTATAACATGTACTGTGGACCCTAAATGTAAAGCTTTCAGTCTGGTCAACTTCAAAGTGCATATATCTGTGAAACTCAATAGAAGGGAATGAAAGCCAATTTTTAAGACCTACATGAGACTGTACTTTGCATTTTAACTGTTCTTTATACAATGTTAAACAGAGTGCCTATTATAAAAATATGAATTTTTTGGTAGATATACTACCTCAACAAAATAAAATCTTATGTAAGATAGGAAAGGTTATTTGTATTTTAATTTCTATCAGTGAGATCAGAGAGAGAGATGAAAAATGTCAATCAATCCTCCCCTTTGTCACCAAGAGGATGTTACCCCACCCTTATCCCACCCTACCAGGCCTCCCTTCTCCCTGGGGTCTCAAATCTCTCGAGAGTTAGATGCATCTTCTCTCATTGAGGCCAGACCAGGCAGTCCTCTGCTGTATATGTGTCCGGGGTTGGGCGTGAGGGCTCATACAAGGTAGGGTATGGTGCCTGGTTGGTGGCTTAGTGTCTGAGAGATCTTGGAGGTCCAGGTTAGTTGAGACTGCTGGTCTTCCTATGGGGGTCACCCTCCTCCTCAGCTTCTTCCAGCCTTTCCCTATGGGGGTCCCTGTCTTCAGTCCATTGGTTGGGTATAAGTATCTGATTCTGCCTCAGTCAGCTGGTGGTAGGACCTCTAAGACGGCAGCCAGGCTAGGCTCCTGTCTGTAAGCACATCATAGCATCAGTAATAGTGTCAGGCCTTGAAGCCTCCCCTTGAGATGGATTCCAATTTGGGCCTGTCACTGGGCCTCCTTTCCATCAGACTCTTCTCCATTTTTGTTCCTGCAGTTCTTTTAGACAAGAACAATTGTGGGTCAGAGTTTTTGACTGTGGGCTGGCAATACCATCTCTCCACTTGATGGCTTGTCATTTTACTGGAAGTGGACTCTACACGTTCCCCCTCCCCACTGCTGGGCATCTGTTGTTAGGATAGTACATGTGTCCTTTGTTCTCTGCTCATCCTTCATCTGGTTCTCTTTGTAGATAATCATCAGTATCCTCTTACCACCCATGATTTTGACGTTGGAATTTAAAAGCAAAGCGGAGATGTCCCATGTCCCACAGTCCCAGGATTTCCAGTTTACATGGAATTACAGTGACCAGGGCCTGAGTAACACTAAAGAAAGTGTTTGTGCGGTGAGTACCCTACCATGGTAAACTGAGTTTCCACAGTGGAACTGTGCACAGAGATGCACAAGCACGGAGCTTATCTAGAATAGGCCTCTGCTAAACAACACGTCTGCCTTTTTGACATTAACAGGGTATTTATTAACACCCTTCCTACACACACACACACACACACACATATAACTTCTCGATGTGTATATTGGTGGTTTGCTAAGTTTCCCAGAATGGTTTTGAATTTCTGGCCAATGTTTCAGTCCAGTGGAGTTACAAATTGCCCTGGGGTTATACATTATTCTAAAAACCCGGGGCTGATTCATGAATCAGGTATTTCTCTGTGTAATCTCCATCTTGTTATATACTAGACAGGTAAAGCATGTAAGCAAAGTAAAGTATTCCATTTCTACTTCAGTGACAAAGTCATCATGCCCAGCAATTGTTTCAGCATTGCTTTGAGAAGTGACAGACCAGATCGGCTTACGACTTGAAGCCTCCGTTAACACTGTCACACACCCTTAAGCTTCTCATCTGTAAAGGACACACATCTAGAATTTGTGTTGATGGGCCAGAGGCATGGCTCAGTGGAGGAAAGTACTTGCAGCCAAGCTTGGCAATCTGAGTTCAATCTCAGACTCCGAATAAGAGAACTGATTCAAACACACTGTCTTTTGATCTCCACCCACATTCTACAACCTGCGTATAACCAAAACAAATGTAACAGATTTTTGTTTATCCTCCTAACTGCACCCCACACTTGTCATTTGTCACCATCCAGTGGCTGTGGGCAGTTTTGCTAGGGTTCTTATGTATGCTCTCCTCTGGGATATAGCCACTTCCCCAGCAGCCAAGGGTCACAGTCAGAAGTTCAGGATGCTGTGAATGCTCTCTCTGTGACTCCAACTCTGACCGTGACTCTTAAGGCTGCCCTTTGCCCCAAGGTGTGGTAAACATCTCCTCTGGTACTTAAACAGAATGAAGTGCCTTTAACATCTTATCTGATGTGCTTTGGTGTGTAAGGTGTATCTGTTTAATTGTCTATATAAATATTATTCACTCACCAAACACTGAATGAAGACTGACTGTGATTAGTGTTTTGTGGATGACACATATTGGTGACTGATTGAACATCTGTGCATTCTAATGCCTTGGAGATCTGTCTCTCCTGAGTCGTTAAGGACTTTAGTTATTACTCCTGTTTAGCTGTGTGTGTGTGTCCCCTCTCTCCCTCCTTCCCTTCTTTCCAGTTCTATCTTGAATCCTTGGAATCCAAGAAGTTATGTATGTTCTGACTGTAGAAAGCATGAGGAGTCTCTTAAAAGCCTGAGCTAGTCATGTGGTTACACTTCTGTCAGTCCCAGGTCCTAACTCATCAAAGAGAAGGAATGCAGTGATGTCCCCACCCCTAGAGATAACACAAAGCCTGGTGTAGAGACACTCTGCTTGGAAATGTGCTGGTTTGTTTGTGCATGGCAGGTTTACTGTGCTGCTTGAAGATAAACAAGGACAAAAAGATGTTCCTTACCCATCTCCTCAAAATGTACATGCAGATCTCACAGGATGTAGATGATAGTTTGTCAGTGAGTACCGTTCCGCTTTTGGCTCTGGCAGATTCTGTAGCATGATGGGCTCATCGTCACTGAAGTCGCTGTGGAGAATTCGTGCCGTCCTCTCAGAACTGTTCTCAAAGGAGACTCAGAGTTTCTTCACAGAGTGGAAATTACATATGTGCTCTTAACATTAAAAGATAGTAAATTTTTGACCCTCCCTGACTAGTGTCCCTTTAGAACAGTTGCTTCCCTAGGTGATTTAAATGTGGTCCTATCAAGTGATTAATTCAGTGAATATTGAAACTAAGCCAGATGTGGTCTCAGCCATGCTGGGATTATTTTCAGGAAATTATGCACTAAATCTTAGCATTTTTCAGTTTGAAGGACTTAGTGAAATAGATGTTCAAGTATATTCTATTATGAATGGCTTCTGATCATAAAAATGGATTTTTTCTGTTTTATTCTTCGGATTCATTTTAAGCAGAAATTATTGACTACACTTGTCTAGCTGTTCCCACTCCTCCCACAATTATTATTAATTTTTGCCAAGCATATTTGGTGGGCAATACAAGATTTCATAATGCTAATTAGGCAAGTGTAATTGATTAGCTGAGGTTCATGGTTTAACAATGTATAAACTGGGAGAAAGCTGGGGCAGCAATAGAAACAGATATGGTTTAGTGTCTTTGTGATACTAAGTTAATAGCTGTGAAGGGCCTTTTTGTTCCGATGGGGAGCTGAAGCTGTATTATCAGATATTGTATTTTCTCTGTGAGATTTTATTACCCACCTCAGGTGTATATGTGTGTGTGTTGCACTGTCTCGAAATGTTTCCCAGAATGGCCTTGAATTTTTAGACTGAAGTGATTCTCCTGCTTCAACCTTCTGAGTACATAGGACTGCATGGACCCGCATCCATGCTAAATCAAAATTCTTTTTGGAGCTTTTCCCAGGCAAAATAAATTTTTAAGGAAAAATTTAAATTGCTCAACTCCTACTCTCCTAAAGTATGATCTCTGTGGCCTAAACGAGGCCAGGAATAAGCTGCAAGAAGAGGAGAGAGTGGAAAGCCCAGGGAGGAAGAGGAGTGACTCTTCTCAGCAGGGCTAGTGGGTGAGGGTTAGGAATCAACGATAGCTTCATGAAACTGTAGGTAGGACAGAGGTATGAGGTCATGAGGCTGAGGATAAGCAAGGCCAGTGAAGAGGTTTTGTCGGATTTGTAGTTACAGAGGGTAACTCCTGTTTACAAGCTGTCTGGATACACAGAGGGTTGTGAGACTCTTGTATGTCTTGTGAGACAACATCATTCTATTTTACTCACTAGAGACCCCTTGATTGTTTATGGCCAGTGTAGGGAGACAAGCAGCTGGTAGGAGAGTCATTGCCTTCCTTGCATAGGATAGTTTCATAAGAAGACAGGCTAGAAACAAGAAAAACATAGACCAGTGCAGCCATCAAGGCCAAAAAGGATAAGGATGTCGGCCTGAATCAATAGCAAAAGACATGGAAAGGAAAAGAGGGATTTACGATGAATAGTCAGTTGAGCAGGCAAGAGAGAGACAGGAATAACTCAAGCAGTGTACCATATCTTCTGAAGCATAGCAGATAGATCATAATTCAAGGCAGTGTACCGTATAGACCATGACATGTTTCAAGGCACAGGCCAAGAAGATTCTGTACTTTTCCACCACCTGACCCCTCTTACCCCCTCCCCTTGTAAAAACATGCTATAAAAAAGCATTCCATGTTCAAAAAAAAAATTAAATAAAAAAAAAGAAAAAAAGGGGAAAAAAAGAGAAGGTATATAAAGTAAAAAAAAAAAAAAGAGAGAGAGAGAGACAGGAAGCATGACTGAGAATTTGTGGGTTACAGCAAGACCAGCTACACTTCTTATATACCCCAGACCCATCTGCCCAGGGATGGCACAGCTCACAGTGGGCTGGGCCTGCCTACATAGATCAGCAATCAAGAAAGGGTCCCCCCACACCTTCCCACAGGCTGATCTGATTGAGGCAATTCTACTTGAGAGCCCCCTTTCTCAGGTATGTTGTCAAGTTGATAACACAGATTAGCTGTCTCAACAAGACATAATGACGACAACCTGTGGTGATGCATGATTCTAAACACAGCACTAGAGACACAGAGGCAGGCAGATCTCTTCGAGTCCCAGGCCAGCTAGGATATATAGTAAGACCATGTCTCAAAAAGTGTGTGTGTGTGTGCGCGTGCACGCGTGCGCATGCACATGTGTGTGTGTGTGTGTGTGTGTGTGGTGTGTGCAGATATAGTTAGTGTTGTTTATTATGTTTTATTGGTGGCAGAGGATCAGGAAATTGAACTGAGGATGAAAGTCTACCACTAAGTTACACCCATTAGTCTACAATATGATTGTTTATTTTTTTCAGAAAGACTGTGATTTGGAAAGAGGCCCTGATGAGAAACTGGAGGAAACTTTGCATTTAGACTTAAGAAATGTGCCGCAGAGCCTCCCCTGGACCAGGAAAGTCTACGAGTTCTACAGCGCTCCGTTTGTCAAGTTTTGGTTTTACACGGTTGGTCTCAGTACAGTAGTGTGGACGATAACTAGGAACTCATGATACTGTTACTAATGCTCTGCCTCAATTGCTCACCTGAGATAAAAATTTCATAACATTTTAGAAATTTTACTTAAAAAAGTGTGGGAGAGAGATGACAAAGTAGGCAGGTGGGAAAGTTGGAAGAAGACAAGGAAAGTGTGAAGTGTGCCTAGGGGAGACTGCCTGGACTTCAAGTTCTTGAATGAGTCTCTTTTCTCACCAACTTCGCCCTCCTGCTACCTTTCTTCCTTTTGGTTTTAATTTGGCATAGACTCTCATTCTATGACTTGCCATCCTGGAAATTACTAGGTAGATGTAGATTAGGCTGGCCCTGGAACTTGAAGTTAACGCTCCTGTGACTGCCTCCTGATGTTGGAATTGCAGGCGTGAGACCAGTTTCAGATTGTATTTTTCTCTTGAAGTGCTTAGACACAGCACGGGCCAGACTGAGCATTTGGAGTGTTTAAGTTCAACGATCTTAACAGTCCTGAGTATTGAATTGAATGGTGGGATTTTCCTACCTTTCTCAGGCAAAATAAACCAGTAATCAATAAAAATTATCAGTTCAACCAATTGTTTTGTAGGAATAGTGTCTTTTGGTTTGGTTGTTTTCAGTAGCATATGATTTATAAGTGGACTATTTAAAGTTGAGAACATGAGTTGCTGGATCATACTGCAATCTTCTGTGGAGAGTGGCCATTCAGAGAAGTATATATATATATTTTCACATATTTTTCTAATGCTAATCTATACTTAGAATCTTCACAGTCTGTATCTTTTATTCCAAAGACATTTGAAGTTTGAATATAACAGGATGTTTATTTAAATCCACATAGTAGATAATCTCAGAATATTGACTTGGCAGCCACTTACTTATTCCACATACTTGATAAATATGTAGTTCGGAATGACAGTTATCTGTTTCTAAATTCCAGTCCTAGGACTGGGGAGATGGTGTGGTAGGTAAAGGACCTGTAGCTTATAGCACAGCATGTAGACCCAGGTTCAGATTCCCAGCACCCATGTGAAAAGCCAGCCATGATGCAGCATTTCTGATTCCAACACTAGGGTGGCAGAAATAGATTCCCTGGGCTTACTAGCCAGTCAGTCCAGCTATATTAGTGAGTTCCAGGTTCAGTGAACATCCATGACTCATAATAAAGCAGAGATGGTTCAACAAGATGGTTCCTAGGTGAGAACACTTGCTGCCAAGCTTGATAACATGAGTTTGGCCTCAGAGCCTACAAGGTAGAAGGAGAGGATTGACTTCCATAACCTGTCCTTTGACTTATACGCCTGTGCTACAGTGTGTGTGGACTTGCACCATGCACTTAACACTCTGCCTGATATCCAGTAAACTCTGTTAGCTATTATATATCATACCTAGATGACTAATCTCTTCATGTGTATATATTCATATTCATATGGGTGTGTATGTGCAGCTGTGCATGAATGAATGTGAAGGCCAGATGTTGAAATCAGGTGCCATCCTTGATTGTTTTTTAACCTTTAAAACATTTATTTATCTATTTATTTAGTGTGTGTGTGTGTGTATGTATGTACATATACATGTGTAGTTACCCCTAAAATCCAGAAGACACTTCTAGATATCCTGGATCTTGAGTCATAGGCAGTGTGAGCTGGCCAACATGGGTGCTAGGAACTGGATTTAGCTATTCAAGCAAGATCAGTATGTGCTCATAACTGCTGAGCCATCTCTCCATTTCTCTAGCCAGAATAACATTGTAATCACTATACAGTAACTTCCCTGTGGTAGGGAATGTTAGCTTACTCCATCGAGGGACTCTGCTCATCTTGGTATACATTTATTTTCCAACCTGGAACTAGAGGGAAGGCATGAGACCCTTTTCTGGTCTTCTGCTAGCTTGCCAGTATACATACTGCAATGGTTAGTCTCCTTCTTGTGCCAGATTTTTGTTCTTAGACTGGAGATACTTATGCGTTCCTTGACATTAAGTAATCAATTATCAGAAGTAGTCACTGTGATATTTTCATGTTGTCATGTAGAAGTTCATGTCTGTGCTTCTTCTGGGCTCTGTCTGCCCCTGCTTGACATCCTTCGTGGTCACTTGAGCTCACGTCCAGGGAATGTGTGTCCCTCACAGATGGCTTATTTGGCATTCCTCATGCTGTTCACTTACACAGTGTTGGTGGAGATGCAGCCCCAACCCAGCGTGCAAGAGTGGTTTGTCATCATCTACATCTTCACCAATGCTATCGAGAAGGTCAGGGAGGTGAGTGGTCCTTTGAACTGTGTCTTCTGCACAACCCGGAAGAGGTGTTCTTGGCTCTGGGGATGAAAGTGGAACTCATGTCAAGTGTGTGAGGGGAGAGGGAACATACTGATTCCGATTAGCTACAAAAAGGTTCTTCGGGGGAAGATGTCTGATTTCATTCCTTGTCCTTACCAAAGACTTTGTGCTTAACTTTGAAAGTAGCCATTTTGAAACATAATCTTTGTTTATTACTGGGAATGGGATGGGCAGTGCCATCTATTTGTTATTGAACTCTCCAACTGTTTGCTTCCCACAATGTAGTTTTTTTTTTTTTTTTGTGGTGTGGATTTTTTTTTTGAGCTTTTGTCACTTTATTGTTAACCAATGAATATTATCCAAAATTAGAGATGTAATTGTAATTTACTTGTACAACAGGAAATGCTAATGGGAAATTACCAAATACTCATTAGTGTGTTTTTACATTGCTATATGAACATGTGCTCTCAACAGCTAATGATAAACATTATAATTGATGCAACCACTATGAAAACCCATTTTGCAAATGGCTGTTCCTGTTTAGAAAAATTCATACATCTATAAAAATGGATTAAACCCACTTTAATCCTAATCTACAAATAGACTATTAACAGCAAATGTAACTGGTATCCTCTCAACACTGTAACAACTGGTGTAGCAATGATAATGTACACAATGCAAATAGAAAAAAAAAGTAAAACTCCGAAGAAAGTCAATTCTTTTAGCAATAAGGACTATTGCTCTGATGCTTTGGAAAAGTGAACACTCATACTTCAAAGTCTGAGTGGTAAGGCCTATTGTCTCTCCCTCTCATCTATGGAAAGCATTCCCTCGAAAATGACTTGGTGCACAACTACTGTACAGCAGTCACTTCAATGTGAACCAGTTGTCTTTTGTCCTACAGAGTCCAAAAAATATATTAACCTTTTCCTTTTTATAATGTTTGCCCAAATTAATTCTTTTTAAGTCAGCAAAAATCAAAAACAGCACAAAAACAAGTGGAATCTACTGTGCATGAAAACTGCTTAATAAAGTGGCAATTGTCATAGATAAAGTTAAGCTTGAGTGCATAATACCAAATGGAAAGTACTGAACCACACAGAGAAAACAAGGCTTCCTGTATCTTCAAATTCAAGTGCTTCATGATCAGAGAATGTACGAGCAGCTTTCTAGCTGGAAAGACTTCCTCAGTAAGAAGTAATTGAAATAAAATTTGTTTTTAGAGATTATAAATAAAGTAAGCAGTGATTTAGAAACCAAATATGCTAAAATGATATTACCTATCCCATCAAGAATGAAGAGTGGGAATGCTTCATGTGCTGCAAAGGCAATGTCTTTCTCACAAAGGGTCACTCCACTTCCTCAGACACAGAACACCCATCAGGGAACAGCAGACCAGTGAGAATATACAATCTAAACACAAAGCAGAGCCCCACAATTCAACAACAAGGCAGTTAAAACATTAGCACTGGAATCTCTGAAGCACACTCAATGAAGCACACACAATGATTGCGATTGCCCATGGGTAACAGACGTGCAGCACAGATTGTGTGTGAACAGTCGTGGTATGGATTTTTTAATCACCCAGCCTTACCTATCTATTGTCAGTTTTATTCCATAAGTGACATGTGAATGGCTAAAGGTACAAAATACATTCACAGCATTCGGAAGCTTCTGGTAAGCACCTTTGAAAATGGATGCTGAGTTTCCTTCTGGGAGAAGGAGTCTAAGAAACAAAACTAAGCGTTTTCATTTCTACTTTGCCACTGGTCACTTAATGCAGTTGTAAATATAATCCCAAATACCTATGACCTTGACTGCCCTAGCTACGTGTGCTTGTCTCCGAATGCCTCTACATTTGTCTTGTTCCAGTGGCATTTTGGCCAGCATTCTATGGTAAGTGTCTTCTTAGAGATTATATTGCATTGTTTGCTAATGAAGTTTATAGAAGAAAAATACAATCTGAATTCTACCATGATTTTTATGTTTTGGGGAAAACAAGCTTACTGCTATAATATTGCAAGGGAAGTTTCTTACACTAGTGAGTTTCAACATTACGTTTTAGTGGTTTGCCAAAAGTTTACTGAGAAGCATCTGTAGAACTAGATTATAGGACAGCTTGGTTTCTTGTCAGTATCCTCTGCCCTCAGCTCATGAAGCAGAGTCATAGTTAGGCAGAGGCAATGCTGTACTGACTTCTGAAAGGCCCTGCGGTTGCTCTGCCCTTACATAGAATCCATGAAAACTAGGAAAAAATTCTTTTTCTTTGTCATTTCTAGTCTCTCAAGTGTTGGCTAAGGTTAACAGTAGTAATGCTAGATATTAAGGTTAATTTTCCATTAATTTTAATTAATAGGATATATATATATGATTATTTAACTAACTAGCAAGGGTTAGATGATTCTCAGATCTCAGATCATCTTGGTATGTAAAATTTGGCAGGAGATGGCTTACTATTTAAATGACAGGTTAATGAATTTTTTAAAAGCTATTGATGGCATTCCCCTCTGGCCGTGATTTTAGGAACTGAGCCCAGGGGGCCCTGTGTGTTGGAGGCAAGTGCTCTGTCACTTTATTGCATCCTCAGCCATGTCACCTTCTTGAAATCTTTCTCTCTTTCTCCGGTCAGATCTGCATTTCAGAACCAAGCAAGTTTACCCAGAAGGTGAAGATGTGGCTCAGCGAGTACTGGAACCTCATGGAAACTGTGGCTATCGGCCTGTTTGCCATTGGCTTTGGCCTACGGTGGGGTCATCAACCTTTGCATACTGCAGGGAGGCTCATCTACTGCATAGACATCATATTTTGGTTTTCTCGGCTCATGGACTTCTTTGCTGTGAATCAACATGCAGGCCCATATGTGACCATGATAGCAAAAATGGTGCGTACAGTCTCACTTTATACACAAGTGTCCTCTTTTCAATAGTTCCACCACCATGGTGCATATTCCATACTTTAACCTTCTCTGTTGTGATATATGAAGGTGTGTGCATGTTTGTTTATGGGTACCTTCACCTGTGTTTGTTTATGTAGAGGGCAGAAATCAACACTGGGTGTCTTCCACTATCCCTCTTGTCTTAGTTATTTTTCTATTGCTATGAAGAGACACCATGACCAAGGCATGAAAGGAAGAATTTGGGGGCTTATGGTTCCAGAGGATTAGAGTCTGACCATCTTGGTGGGGAGCATGGCAACAGGTAGGCAAGGATGGCACTGGAGCAGTAGTGGGGAGCACTAGGCAGACAGAGAGCTAGCTGGGAATGGTATGACTTTTGAACCTTTAACGCCCACCCCAAGTGACACACCTCCTCCCACAAAGGCACACAGACCAATCCTTCCAAAACAGTTCCACCAACTGAGGACTAACATTAAAATATATGAGCCTGTTCTGGCTATTCTCATTCAGATCACCGTAGCTTTCTACCTTGTGTTTTGAAACAGAGGACTCTGATTGAACTCAAAGCTCACTTTTATCTAGACTGGCTGGCTAGTGAGCTCCCAGGAACCGTCTGCTTCCCCATTCCTCACCTGCCTTTCACATGCTTTTTGGGAATTTAATCTCAGGTGCAGTAAGCATGTTAACACGGAGCCATCTCCCTAGTCCACTAGTTAAAATTTGTAATTGTTTCTAGAAGCACAGAGACTCATTTTATATACCATAAACTTATATATAAATATGAGCTCGGGTAGTTAATAGGAACACTTAGTTTAGCCTTTTGTCAGGACTTGCCAAGTGGGATTAAGTCACATTGTTTTTTATTTGTATAAGACAACCACCAAGATTCTATTCTCTGAAAGTGCTTTGTTTTAAATTACTTCCTCTTACTCTTAAGTAGTGGTAACTATGCACCACACAGTGTACTAGATATTTTGGATGTATTAACTCATATATTATTTGTAGCAACTTTATGAATTAAATAGTATCTACTTTATACATACAAAGAAACAGAAGTTAAGTAGAATCACTCATGAGCATATGTCGGGGATCCACGCTCCCACAGTGGGTGGCCTGGCTCTAGTCTATACTCTGAGCATGCTGAACATTGTGCCAGCTTTTGCCATCTGGAATTTTGAAACTACACAAAGATCTACTGTCTAGAAGTGCAACATCAAGATTATCTTGGCATTTAGTTCTAGAATACAAAGAAAGGTATTGTTCTGGAGGATCGGGTGTAGTACAGAGAAAAAGAACGAGGGAGAGGGACCAGAAGAATCTCAAGAAGGATCTTGCTGGTACTGCTTCCAGCTCCACCTTCCCCCTGCCTACACCCCCACTACCTTCTGCTTCTGCTTTCTCTCCTTCTCCTTCTGGCAGGACTGGGATCTGAACCTAGGACCTCATGCATGACAGGCAATCACTCTACTGCTGATCCCCAGGCCAGCCCTCAGATTTTCTTCTCTCTTCTTATTTTTCTCTTAGACCACACATGCATCCTCTGATTTGGGAAATGTCACATTTATTAGAGGTGAGACAGCTAGCCTAATCAATGATTAGGCACAAGGTCCCCTCTCCCAGAAGCTAGGTTTGATGGGTCTTCTAAGTGCTGACTCCAGGATGCAGAATTTCCCCTTTGTCTGGCATACCCATGCATCTTAGCCCCTTCCAAGGTCTCCTTTGGCAGCAAGAAGAGTGATGACGTCCAGATGAGTTTAACAGCTCAGACAAGGTCACTGTTGTCATTCAAAAGACACTTTGGGCAAAAGCCCACTGGCTCCTTGGATCTTGTAGTCAATACTTAATAAGACAAGAAATGTGGAGAAAGTGAAAACGTTGGTGACTTCCGGGTCTGCCGGAGTGAACAAGTGGGTTGAATAGCTGTATTTTGAAATTTAGGAGGAAACTGGCATAATCAATTCCCAAGACACCACATGATGCTATGAGGGAATTCTGGGAACAATTTGAATATACCATAACCTCTTAAAGTTTTTCTAATTAAATATTGGATTTCACTGATCAATATTGGGTGCTAGTCAGTCAAAAGCAGGTAACATTTGATCGCTGCTTATATTAGGAGTCTCTAGTTATACTTTCTGCATATCATATAACCCTATGGATGTCACTAACCCAAAGCACATACCGTGTAGAGAAAAGAAATGAACCAGAGAGAACTCAGGTGTTTTAGATTGAGGCATTTGAGTCACTGACTAGACTAGTTATCTGTAAGTGTGATAATGACCGTTATGGCTTGATTTTTGGTAAATTCTGGTTGTGCTGTACTGTTTTTTTGCAGGCAGCAAACATGTTCTACATTGTAATCATCATGGCCATTGTCCTGCTGAGCTTTGGTGTGGCACGCAAAGCCATCCTCTCACCAAAGGAGCCTCCTTCGTGGCGCCTGGCTCGTGATATCGTATTCGAGCCATATTGGATGATGTATGGAGAAGTCTATGCTTCAGAAATAGATGGTACATATAGGGGTTTGCCTTCATGCAGAATCAGAACCCATGGAGATCCCAGAATAAAAGCAAATCCGGAAGGCAGTCAAGAGAATCTTTCAATGTGTAAAGTTTGTGGTATTCTGTGACATTAAGGGCTCAAATACTTGCAGAGGGCCCCAGGGCTGTGGCTTATCTTCTTTGTTTTTTTGAGACAGGGTTTCTCTGTGTAGCCCTGGCTGTCCTGGAACTCACTCTGTAGACCAGGCTGGCCTTGAACTCAGAAATCCGCCTGCTTCTGCCTCTCAAGTGCTGAGATTAAAGTCGTGTGCCACTACTGCCTGGCATCTTCTCTCACTCTTAAATTCTTTCTTTGTAGTTTGTTCAAATGGGACTTCTTGCCCTCCGGGTTCTTTCCTGACTCCATTCCTGCAAGCTGTCTACCTCTTTGTGCAATACATCATCATGGTGAACCTGCTGATTGCCTGTTTCAAGTAGGTAACTTTAATGAAATACGATTATTTTATTTACCAAAACGGGGGAGGAGCTATATTGAGTATATTTCCATGTGCGTTGGGTATGTGACCCTTTGTCCTTACTAGTGTCCCATGTTTGAGTACTGTGGCTTTAAGGCAAAGATGTGGAACTATCTGTAGGAAATACATCAAACTCATAGGAAACAAAACAGCAGAAGCCATCATGGAAGTGTACACATGAGAGGAGGTTTGGGCTGTTACTGCACAGTTGTAGTTCTGCAGAATGGGAAGGTTGGAGTTGATGCCTACTAAGGGTTTGCTGTGTGCTTTTCCAAAGTGTCCTTTGCTGTCCCGATTTCTTCCTTCTCTCTTATAGTTTTCTTCTTCTTCCCTCTCTTCCTTTCTGGTTCAATGTCTCCATTTTACACTAAAAAGACCTTAGGCCTAGAGCTTTGGCCTTTTCCTTTATCTGTACTTTTTCCTGTTCTTGTTCTGATTCTGTATATCTGGGAAATCCTATTTATACTGTCTGCTTCACTGACACTCCAGCCTTATTGATCCTGTGACCTTCCCAGGGCAAACTCGTGGACTCCCCTTTCCCAATATAGACTTGTTCCATTTCCAGGCTTTCCAAAGTCTATAGGCAAGAGCAGGAACTTCTCTGGGAAGTCCAGCCTACAGTCCTTTCCCTCCTCTCCTCTCCTCTCCTCTCCTCTCCTCTCCTCCCCTCTCCTCTCCTCTTTCCTCCCCTCCCCTGTCTCCTCCCTCTCCCCTCCCCTCTCCCTCCCCCTCCCTCTCCCCCCTCCTCTCCCCTCCCCTCTCATTCATTCCTTCCCTCTTATCTCTTCCCCTTCCTTCCCCAACATTCAATACAGAGGCCAACGCTTTGATAAACAAACAAGCATGGTGACCCCAGATCTGATTGCTTAACCGGGGGTTGGGGGGGCACTGAAGCTAGAGTTCTTACCATTAAAGACCTTGAAATACTTTGTGAATGTCACCACCTGCTGGTGGATAGACTGAAGTCGCCTGTGAATTGAAGACACATAATTGAGAGTAGCCTTGAGAGCTTGCAGAACTGCAGACTAATGACCCTGCCCCCCTTGTAGCTTCCCATTCAAGAATGTTGAGATAGAGTCCAAGAATGTGCATGACCTCATGTGCCCTGGTGATGCTGGGATAGAGTTCAAGGATGGCCCTGAGTACTCAGGTGATGTAGACTCTGAGCTTAGTTTTCACACTCTGAGAATCTGGGTTCTAACCCAGCCATGTGTCAATCATCCACTTCACAGGGCCTGGGACACACTTCTCTCTGGCTTATCCTGGCCTGGTTCTTTCAAGGATAGTTGTGGCTCCTCCTTATCATTGGTCAGGTTTTGCTTGTCAATATTTTTATTGGCTAAATTTTGTTCACATTCTGTTCTTCCATTTCTTTTCCCCTCTGAAGAAACTTACTTAAAAAAAAAAAACTGAGTAGTATTCCATTGGGCCTGCTACCAGTGTTAAATATATACACAGTTCAGGGCAACATGATGTTTTGAAACACTCCACCATCTGCTCAAATTTCTATTTGCAATTCTTTAGTGTCTGTGTTTATTGGCTTCCTTTAATACTGACGTAATTTAAGAGAAAACCCAGAGTGACTACCAATAGAGGCCACTTTGACTATAAAGTTAATGTGAATAATTTATCAAGTTCCCTTTGGAAGCTCTGCGTATTGACTTATTTAAGGAAGAATCGATTCCTCTCTCCTATGTCTTCTTCATTCATATGATTCTGTTGAGATATTTTAGCTAGAATTATCCCAGCAGTTCTTGCTTTTGGCATGTGAGGGGTATCTTTATAGGTCAATAGCACATAGGAATATCAGACTTGTTTACCACAAAGGATGTGTTATGCTCTGGAAAAGAGCTTCATATATGAGAAGCAATGGTGCCCCATAGACAGCACTGAGCATAACAGGGCAGTTTCTGGTTTCTGCCTAAAATACTGCCATTTTTTTCCTAATCTCTGCTTTCAGTGTCTGCATTTTGTTCATTGTTCCAATGAACATATTTTTCTTTTTTGGTAAAAAGTGGTTACTGTATTTTATTTGATGGAATAAAAATCCTAAGTGGATAATAGTTATTGGCTAACTGCTGATGATTATCTGTTAATCAATCAGAAGAGTTGGATGATACAGTCTAACTGTCACATTTCAGGGTCCCATATTAAAATGTTCTCTCCTTCTCTTTTTTTTAACCTACAGCAACATTTATTTAGATATAAAATCCATCTCGAACAAGCTCTGGAAATACAACCGCTATCGCTATATCATGACCTACCACCAGAAGCCCTGGCTGCCCCCACCGTTCATCCTGCTGAATCATATGTGCCTGCTCCTCCGAGGTCTGTGCTGTCGCCCAACACCACAGGACCAGGAAGAGGGTGATGTAGGACTAAGTAAGTTTCTCTGGAGGAGCGGAAGGAAGAAAAAGGACAGACACTGGGAATGAAAGAGGGAAGAGAAAAAAGGGTGGGGGCATTGGAGGCTGGTAATTCTAGTGAGGTCACAGCATGAAGGATCTGGGAGCACACTGGCTGCAATGCCCTCACCTTTGCCTGGGGTCTCATGATTATTTTTGCCTCTGTCAAATGTTGCAGAATATTTGATTACTCTGTGAACCCCAAGACTGTGTTATTTAATGAAAATACCTGCTTTCTAGTTGTGGTGTGGGTCAGTCCTTAGTATACACCTTGAATCTCAAACAGTGAAGGTAAAGTTAGTTTTTAGAAGGAAGCACTCAGGTTGAAAGTGATGTCTAATCGAGTGGCAGACAAAGAGAGAAAGATTTGACAGAGTAGGAGATGTCCAACTCTCAGGAGAAGAGAGGAAAGGGAAGCTACGTAAGAGAGCAGTGGAGAGAGAGATAGAGAGATAGATAGATAGATAGATAGATAGATAGATAGATAGATAGAGGCAGAGACAGAGAGATAGAGACAGAGAGACAAGGAGGTAGTTTTACCAGGACAGTTGTAGAGAGACAGGTTGCAGCGAGAACAAGCTAGACACAGGTGAAGACAGAATAAGCCAGAGAATAAGAAGGAGCTAGAAGATTAGAACATACTGCCAAAGTTAGCTTGAGGCCAAGCAGAGCAAAACGCCAGATTGAAATCAGTCAGCTTGGAGAGGCATTTGAGCTGCAACAGCTGAGTTGAACCAGCCAGCCAGAGCTCAGAACTAGAAAGAGTGAGCTTATTCAGGAGCAAGTTTCAGAGTCTGAAAACATTTTAGGCCTAGATAAGATTGTAGGAGGCTGGAAGCTTCCAGGACTAGGCCTCTGTTAGCAGACTGAGGTGATAAACCTCTGAGACAACAATTACTTCAGGAGAATAAAAAAAAATACTTTTATAGTTAAATGGTATATTGAAAGAGAGAAGCAGGAGAGACAGTGTGAAGGTTTTAGACCTTCTAGAAAACCTGGGTTTTCTCTGCTGACCTGGGAACTCCTCTGACTATCTCTTAGAGAGTAGAGTCACTTGACCTGTACTTAGTGCCCTGCTGTGTAGAGAGGTGATTCAAAAGGTCTCAGATCCAGGGAAACAGAGAAGCAAGCTTTGCCTAGTGGAGCAATCAGAATCACAGCTCTGGTTTCTTAACCTTCTAAGATCAGACAAGGTTACAGAAAAGATGTTTCTTATTTTCAGAAAATCAATGTGAAGTGCAGACATATGGAAATGTGCATTCTCATTTTGTTTTATTTGAGTTAGAATGCTTACTTTTCTTTTTTTTCCAGGTATGGCCCTAGGTATACAGGGCTATAATAGAGGTACATGAATTTTTGCTGATAACAGATCACATAGCCATTTATATAAAAACAATCCTGGGGGTGGTGGGTGTAGAGATGAGAGTACTGGTTGCTCACACAGGACCAGAGCGTGATTCCCAGCACCCATATGGCCGCTCATAATCATCTGTAATGCCAGTTCTAAGGGATCTAATGCCCCCTTATAGCCTCAGTGGGTACTGCATGCATGTGGTACACAGTCATACAACCATGCAAAATATCTATACACAGTAAAATTTTAAAAAATCCTCAGGTATCCATATATTTAAGATAAAGATAATTTTCATAACAATGAGATGGATGTGCTTGGTGTGTTTTAAAAAGAACTTAATCTTGACTGGATATTTGATACTTACGGATGCAGAGCATCTCCAGTTTTTGTAGATATTTGATTTTCTGATTGTCAGCACTAAGAATCTCTGCATAAAAACATGGCACCAAAGATCAAAGTATATGTAGACCCATATAATCCCAAGCCAAAGTTTATTTCATTACTTTAAAAAAAAATCAAATCAGCCACTTAGCAGATTTTAAAAATCACCCAACACAATTCAAAGAAATATTATTTTAGCATTTTTCTGCTGAGAAAAAATTACATTTCTTTGGATTTTGGGTAATTAAACAAACCCTTCCTCCTTTTTTTCTGTTTCCTTCTCCTTCCTCTATCTCCAGGGAATATCTCTATTCCCTGCTCTTTGTCTTTCTTGGGTAAATAAATCTCTGTGCTGAGAACTTGGTGTTGTGGCGTCCTGAGCCGATACTTTTGCTTTCACATCTGTGAGTGCCGGACTCAAAGCTTTTGCACCAAGGCAAGTTCACCCATAGTTCTAAAACATTCTCCCGGCTTCTTTCCATTTCTTTAAAGGTTGAGTTGACAACAGATGGGGCAGCAGTGCCACCTCGTGGATACTTTTAGGAACTGCATACTCCAAGCTGGACTTGTTGCTAGACTCACCCTTGGGAGTTTGGGGGCAGATTCGCTGCTGGTGGCTGGTGTACATCCTGGCCCTCAAAAACCTTCATGCTTATAGGACATCAAAGATGGGGCCTGTGGGAGATTATCTTTTTTTTCTAATGTCTAAAGGGTTCTTCCACGACGTATAAATCACAAAATATTGTGTGCTTTAAGTTGTGAGCACAGTTTTATAACTAAACACATTTTTAATTTAAAACTGATTTCTCGTTGCTCGTTTAATTGAAGATTAATGAAAATATTGCATTAGTAAATTATGGAGTAATACTTAATTTTCTTTTGACTTACATGAAGACACTTATGAAAGAATTTTCCAAGTTAGTCCCCTTAGCAACATCACACCCTCTTGATATTTCCCATATTAGAAACACACTTAAATGTGATTTCTGGTTCCATTTGCTGAGAACCAGGGCAATGTATAAATACGAATGCTGCTGGCGTTTGATGAAGGCCTGCACTGGCCTCGGAACCACAGGGCGAGGTGTCCTTTTTAAAGAGTTAGTTACTTCAGGGAAGGGTGCAGTGCTGACTGGTCATTGTCTGGTCATTCTTGGAAGGAGGACTTAGCCGGTTCATGCGCAGGCTGGTGAAGTAAGACTTCCTCACACTGGCTGTGATGGCATCAGCACACTCTGCCCTCTGTAAACTCAATTTTCACCTGTAGATTACTCATTGCTCTTTTAATAGCTAAAACAGTCAACAGGGTACAAAAGACAATGATGTTCTTCAGCTGTATATGAATACAGAGAAGTTCGGTTACCACAGGAAAACATTGCACAGTATTAAAATGCTGAAAAGAAGGCTTCTGCCTGTTCACTATATTCCCCATGTTTTTAGAGAAGGGGGGAAGAAAGAATTACCTAGTATTCTTAGATGTTTGTATTACTGCTTTTCTAGGAGCACAGAGTGACAGGCTGTGATGTCCTTCACACAAGCTACTGCTTACTGTTCTCAGTACAACTGGGAAAAACACCATTTACATATATCATACTGCTATCATAAAATACACGAGGCTAAGCACCTACAAAAGAGGCTTACAATGGATCTTTGAATAAGCAAGTCTTAACTCTAAATACATTTATAGGGGAATTTTGCTTCTGAAGATTTACAACAATTAATAAACAATCAAACTTATAAGATCATGCTGGGCATTGGGTATTGTGACACACACCTATGATCTCAGACATGGAGAGGTGGAGGAAATGATATTTGTGGGTTTGAGGCCAGCCTGAGCTACAGAGTGAGATGCTTCATCAAAACAGAGTGCAAGAACACAGATTTAAGACAGAAAAATGTGATGGAAACAAAAACGCTCAAATACTAATTATCTAGCCTAGAAATATGGGACAAATTAAGAAAAAAGGTATGGGGGCTGGAGAGATGGCTCAGTGGTTAAGAGTACCGCCCGCTCTTCCAGAGGTCCTGAGTTCAATTACCAGCAACCAAATGGTGGCTCACAAAGGTGGCTCACAACCATCTGTAATGAGATCTGATGCCCTCTTCTGGTGTGTCTGAAGACAGCTACAGTGTACTCATACACATAAAATAAATAAATCTTGAAAAAAAATTAAAAAAGGAAGAAAGTTGCTAGAATGATAGTCTGTAAAGTGCTTTCTGTGCAAGCATGAGGAACAGAGTCTGAGTCTCAGAACCCACATACAGTGGCTGGGGTGCTGGTGTAGTCTCTTAACTCTAGCGCTGGGGAGGCAGAGAAAGGCTTATACCTTGGACTCGCCATTCAGCACAGACTTACTGGCATGTTCCATATTCTCACAGACCTGGATTTTAGAAATGCCACCAGACGATCTACCTCTGCCCTGTGCCTACATGTGCACACACGTGTCCTCCTATATGTTCATTTCCCCTATGAATACACAGACACACAAATACACACAGAAAAAGTTAGATATGGTATGAGAACATGGAATGCAATCTATACAAAATTCTCCTATAAATGTATTTAGAGTTAAAACTTGCTTATGCCAAGGTCAGCTGTAAGCCTCTTTTATTAAGTACCTAGCCTCATGTATTTAGTGATAGCATAGACAAGAATGTATTTTATCATTTAGAACCATGAAGTTCACCAGAATCATGATCATAGAACATAAATAGTACCACTTCCAGGCAAGAGAAAGGTAAGGAGATACAAAGACATAGTATTAAACTGCAACCACACTGTACTGAGTGTCGCAGTACTGGGACACTTCATAGCCACCTTCTGTGGTGCCTCTGAGCAGTTCATCAGCTTCCAATGCTCTGGGATGCTCATCACCATCTGCTTCCCTGGTGCTGGGAGTAAAAGAAGCACCATCACGTCAAATGGTTTTATGTGGGTTCTGGAAATGAAGCTCCAGTCCCCATGCTTCCATGGCAAGTGATTTATAGACTAAACTGTAACTCCAGCCCGCCTCCCTTTTCTAATTAAAAAAAAAGTGATTTCTCACAATTTCACCATATATGATACATATATCATATAAAGACATCTAGATCCCCTATGTTATTGCTCCCGTGTCTGGCCAAGATAGGATTTTGGGAAACCAAATTTAAAATGCAGATTTTTAAGTGAGCACATTGGTGCCTGAAACTCTGTCATTCAGGGTTCTACTGTATTTGGAGTCTGGAATTCTAAGACTGTAGTCTCCCTCTGGCCAGCCTCTGGTGATGGCCTTCTAGTTACATCGTAACATGGTGGATGGGTTCCTATAGTGGACGGAAGTGGGGAGATGGGGTGAGGAAGGAGAGAGAGGGAGAATGGAGAACTACAGTGGCTAGACCAGTCTATTAATCCAATCACCCTCACCTGTAGATGAAGCTCCAACACATGAGCCACTGGGGACACAATCCATGTTGGTAAAAAGCACACTCCATATCAGCCCTCCAAGAGTGGCTTTTGTATGTGTCATGCTTATTTCCACAGAACTCTACCTCACTAAGGATGACTTGAAAAAGCTTCATGATTTTGAAGAACAGTGTGTGGAAAAATATTTCCATGAGAAGACGGAAGGTCTGAATTGTAGTTTTGAGGAACAAATCAGAGCGACATCAGAAAGGTAAAGACTATCTCTTTAATCCCCCAAACTGCTACCAGATCATGATTGTCCTAGAATGTGTAAAATGATAGACAGACCCAATTTCAAACCCCAGTGGTTTGAGTTGTGCCCAATTTGCAGGATGTATTACGATACGATTTATGTAATCAGCCTCTGTTTATTGGACATCTCTATATTTTAGACAGTCTTTGCATTCCAAGGGATAAGTGGAGACTAGGAGTTAAGAATCCCTGTCTTACATAGATTTAAATTCCGGTGTTTGCTGTAGAAACATCAGAAGGAAATGAAGGAGTAGTAAAGACAAGACAAGTAAGCTGACAGAGGAAACATATACATTCATGTTGGTCAATAAGAAAAAAAATCTATGAGGAACTGTGTGTAATGATGCATGCCTTTAATCTAAGCACTGTAGAGGCACTGGAGAGGCAAAAGCCAAGAGGCCAAGAGGCTGAGAGGCAGAGAGGGGGGGCAGAGAGGGGGCAGAGAGGGAGGCAGAGAGGGAGGCAGTGAGGGAGGTAGAGGCAGAGGCAGAGGCAGAGGCAGAGGCAGAGGCAGAGGCAGAGG